GGGGGAATAGCAAGTAGGCCACTTTGGCTGAAACAAAGAGTGTGTGGAAGGAATGTGAAATGTGAAATTAAAAGATTATTTTCATGTACAGGTTGGAATAGATGTCTTTTTAGATCTCTTCCAAATCTTAAATTCTCTGACTCTTCAAGTCTGGAAGGGTAAGCTAAAGCCCAATTGTGAACAGTTTTATATGCCTGATGAAGAGTTTGTATATTGGCCTAAAGCCAGGATTCTTAACTGGAGGTCCATGGGTAGATTTCAAGACTTTTCAGTCTTAACAAGGTAAGGAAGTTGCCTCAGCATCTGGAGCCTCTGTATCCTGGAGCATCTATGAATTTACCACCCTGGAACACCTCTCTGCAAATGCCAGTGTATTTTTCCCAGTGGTGAATCCTCCACCCAGCCTCTATGTTAAGAAAGTGCCCAGTCCTTCATGCTCCTCTCAATTTTCCTTCTTACATTCCTGATTTTGCCACCATTCTCCTTTTCAGCTCCTCTTGTGTGTTGTTTTTCCTTCTTAGAATATAAACTCCTTGAGGGCAGGAACTGTCTTTCTGTTTTGCTTGTATTTATATTCTGAGCTCTTAGAAAAGTGCTGGTACATAGCAATTATTTAATAAATGCATGTTCCTTTGATGTTCCTTCTGCGGGTGTGGATGAGGGGAAAAATTAAATCTGTTTTAATCAAATGGGTTTCCTTTGTGAGTATTTTTCTGAGAAGGGGTCCATAGGCTTTACCGCACTTCCAAAGGTTAAGAATCTCTGACCTATAGATTATAATAGGGAATCATTTAAGATTTTTCAGCAGAGGAATAACATATCAAATTGTGCTTTAAGAATGGAAAGGAAGCCAACCATATATACCTAATAAAGGCAGGAATGTTGCTAGGCAAGAGAAAGATGATAACCTTGCCCTTTGATTTGATATTTGTTCTTGTGCCTTTCTCCCTCTACTTTACTTGCATGGGAGACCAAAAGAATTTTGAGGTTGAAAAATTGAGGAGGGGGGTTGAGCTTGGATCCATTAGGTTTTTGACTACTTAGGGAAGGTAACACTTCAGCTCAAGACTCCAGGTGAATCAAGAAACTAGAAGCACAGCCAAATTACACAGCTTCACGTCCAGTAGAGTTGGGCCAGCAGCAACCATGGGACCATTTTGGTACCATTAGGCAGCTGCCATGTGGGACCAGCAAGGAGAAATGCCCAGCAGAAACTACATGCCATGTCTTCTCAGAGATGATGTACCCAGCCAAAACTACAAAGATGGCAGAGAAGATACACCTGGCAGAGAGACCAGTGGTAGCATCGTGATGATGTCATCAGAATACATCCATGACTGTAGCTCTCCAAGTATAAACGATCCCTCCACCTCTGAGCCTTGGTTGGCCACACTTGTTCTTTTGCTGCATACCACTCCCCATGTCCCCCAGCCATGTGTTTCTTGTATGTGTCTACTTTTCCCATTGATGGTGCAGCTTATTTGGAAGAGTCTCTCCCAGGTTTATGGGTAAAATATTCTACTGCTTGGTAGTCTAGTTTATTAAAAGGTACCCTAATTTTGTTGAAAGAGTTTACCTAGAACTATTTGTGTCCTCTATATAACTAGAGAAAGTAAGCATATTGTTGGGCCCTCGTGGGCCCTTATGGGATATACTCTTAAAGAGATACTGAGTCACAGAATGCTTAGAACTTCAGATAAACTTGTTTGGATAACCCACTGCGAGAATCAAGGTGCCCCCAGGTATTACAGCAAGATCATTTTGGCAAATGTATGGAATATGGACTAAAGAGGGGAGAGACTGAGAGCAAGGACAGGAAATTGGAGGCTCCTGAAATAGTCAAGTTGAGAGGTGCTGAGTGGTGGTTGTATGGATGGAAAAGAGAAGGATGCATGAGGCAGGAGCAGACAATCAAGAAGACTTAGAGATAGCCACGTCTTCAAATGCTCTGAGTGTTTCCTCTCTACATTTTTCCCTTGAAACCACAGCAGTTGGGGATGCCTGTTTTTGGAATATCCATTTTTTATTACCTCATACTGGGAATTTCCCGCTTATCATTCATTCTGATAAGACAAATGAATACACACAAGCATGTGAGCACACATGAACACACACACACGCATACAAGAACAGACAGAAGTATTGGCTATTTAAGTACATGGAAGCATTGTAAGTGAGGACTATTGATCATCCTTTTATCCTCTGCAAATTTTTGTTGGATTTTGTTCTTAGCAAAGCATTTATAGGTGTTAGTTTTGGAGTCTCGTCTTTCCATTTTTCCAATTTTCAAAACAAAGATTATTGGAAAAATGTCTTAGAAATCTTTGCTTTGCCATAGTATTTTTTGTATTTAGGATCTCCCCCTCCCCCTCAAAATAATCATAGGATCATAGTTTTTGGGCTGAAATGGATTTTAAAGGGTCATATATGTAAAACCTCTCAGGAAACTAAGACCCATAAATTTAGGTTTAAGGTCACAAAGTAGTGAATATCAGAGGTAAGATTTGAATACAATATTCTGATTTGGGGAGGCAGCTAGGTGAAGCAGTAGATAGAGCACTAAACCTGAAATCAGGAGGACCTGAGTTCAAATCTGGCCTCAGACACTTATTAGCTATGTGACCCTGGGCAAGTCATTTAACCCCTGTTTGCCCTAATCCACTGAAGAAGGAAATGTCACACCACTGCAGTATCTTTGCCAAGGAAACCTAATGGACAGTATTGGTGTTCTATGGCCACAGGGTCACAAAAAGTTGGAAACGACAGAATAACAACCGTGATTCTGGAGCCCAGTGCTTTTTCCACCATGCTACGATGCCCCTTAAGAAAGGTTTATTGTTGTGCGGTGGGCAGAGCACCGGCCCTGGAGTCAGGAGGACCAGACTTCAAATCCAGCTCAGATTCGTAACACTCACTAGCTGTGTGACTTTGGGCAAGTCACTTAACCCCAATCGCCTTGCAAAAAAAAAAGTTTATTGTCAAAATACATTTAGCTGAGACTTTTCTCTTTCAGATAATAGCACATATACTGCTTTAAGCATGAGGTCTATTTGAAGACATGAGACCATAACTTCATCCAGCCTGAATCCTTTTGATGCTTCCTAGCACCCCAATATGGTGGTGGTTCTTGTTTATGTGTGTGAAATCTCAGCAAACAGGAGACAGAACCAAGATGTTGACCAAGAAAGTAAAGGGATTTTTACTGCCATAACTTTTATTTTTTTTAAATGTCATGACATAGCTTGTTTCTATATTGATTACACCAGCAAGGATTTGTTTATTAAGAAATGATAAGAAGGGATAAATCCTAGCACCATTTTCACAAAGTGTGGGGTTTATTTTGACTGTTATTCTCTGCTTAACCCTTCCTTTATGCTAACTGTCCTCACACTTTTACATTTACCCTTGGTGCACTGGATAGAGCCCTGGGCCTGGAGCTAGGAGCTAGGAAGACCTGAGTTCAAATTTGACCTCAGACACTTACTGGGTAAGTCACTTAACCCTGTTTGCCTCAGTTCCTCACCTGTAAAATGAGCTGGAAAAGGAAATGGCAAACCACTCCAGCATTTTTGCCAAGAAAACCCCAAAATAGTCGAACATAACCATTGGCCTTACCTCCCTTCTGCCTCATCTTCTTTCTCTTGCTCTCTCATCTGAAGAACGTAATCACTCTTTTGCTTACACAAAGAGAAATCTAAGTCAGGGCACCGTATTCTTAAGATATGGTTGCAGTTGTGGAGATGCATTGTTTATAAATCCTTTAAAATCCTAGGATCACAGATTCAGAGCTGTCAGGGACCTTAGAGTTCATTGAATCCAACGTTTGGTTTTTTTTTTATAGATGAGGAAATTGTGGTCAGGGGAGGTTGTGACTTGTTCACAGTCACAGAGGTAGGGAGGGGTAAGCCAGAATTTGAGCCCAGGTCTTCTGATTCCAGAACTTTCCCCTTGCACTGCATCACGCTCACTGGATGGATGGTGTTATACCAAATCCATTTTTCTTACATGTCTGATTAAAATCCCTTTAGTATCACTTGTACTTTACATTTCACTGATTATTATTTGTTTTGGAAAGTTTGTGCTCTATCTTCTTGGAACTTTTTTCCTTTAAACCTTGTTCCTTCATTAAAAGGTGCGTCTAGGTTCTCTTGCTACTGAGCTGTCTTGAGCTACCAGTCCTTCTTGCTGTAAGATCTCTGGTGAGGAGGTCATTACAGCCATAATAAGGATTTATGTGGAACTTGGATAGTAGAGCTAGGGAGAACCATAGCAACCCCCAATGAGGTCTTTGTGATATACATGATTAGGACATACCACAGGAATTAATAATTCTTAGGACACTCTCCTAAATTGTTACCACATTGTTTTTGCAAGGAAGTTGCTTCATTTATGTACACAGAACAAAGAGAGCTGCCTTCTGAGTAGGCACTTTCTTAAGAAGGACACCCCCACTTCCCTGCCCCCCCAAACCTCCACAAAACCCCACAGGGGGCTTATCCTATTTAACATGCATTTTTGGGGGGTGGGGAATTGTGGAACAAGATATAAAATCATTTAACTCATTATACTCAATTTCCCACGGCCCCTCCTCCCCCATTTTCTTTGGCATCTGAAAGTTTAATACATTCAACAAGATTAAACTTTTAAAAAACATGTCATGGATTTTTAAAAAATCTTAAGTTAACAAACTTTTAGAAACAATACGAATTTAATAAACTTTGCCCAAAAGAATTCCTTGAGCACGGACTATGCAGTATGGAAGAAATCTTCTTTCAGGGCTCCCAATATTTAACTAGAACTTAAAAGATACTGCTAGAATGGTAGGTTTTAATAGGTCGGGGCTGGAACACCCAAAGTATATTAAGGTGGACTGCTGTACCCTTCGATTCTATGCAAGTCTCTGAAAGGCTCAGCGCTGTTTTTCGAGCAGGAGGGACAGGGCGGGCGGCTATACATGATTGAGGTCATGCGCATCCAGCCAATTTGTAAGACGATCCCTCCCGCACTAAGCTGTCGGCAGTCCTTAGCATAGGGGCACACTCAGGCATTCCTGTCAAGTCATCTTGTGAAAGGCTGCCTGCTTCCAGCTTGGCTGGAGAGCGGAACCTTAATAAAACTCACTGAGGTCGGAGGGAATATAGCAGTTCGGCTGCAGATAGGGTAGAGGCAAGGGGCTAGAATGTGTACATGCTGCTGACTACAACAGGCTGCGTGCTGAACTGTTACACAGAAAGGAAACAATAAATCTCTGCTACTATGCAATAAATATCTCAACTTTTAACGAAGGGAGCTATCATTCCAGTGAAATAAATTTTAAAAAGTTTTTTAGCTAAAGCTACCAAATGAATCGTTTTCTAGGATTCTTCTTTCAGAGCTGACTTAAAAAACCACCAAAAAGCATTTTTTTTACATGCAATAAAAAAAAAAATACTGGTTAAAGAACGAAGGAAGAAGTAACTGGGGGGGTAGGATTAAAAAAAAAAAAGTTGTGCAGAGGCAGACAAGGAAGGTGCTGATACCATGACAGTTTTCCTCTCCTTTGCTTTCCTGGCTGCTATTCTAACTCACATAGGGTGCAGTAATCAACGGAGGAGCCCGGACAGCAGCGGGCGAAGATACAATCGGATTCAGCACGGACAGTGCGCCTACACCTTTATTCTGCCGGAACAGGACACTAACTGCCGGGAGAGCACCACGGACCAGTACAACACCAACGCGCTGCAGAGAGATGCCCCTCTCATGGAACCGGATTTCTCTTCCCAGAAACTGCAACATCTGGAACATGTGATGGAAAACTATACTCAGTGGCTGCAAAAAGTAAGTTTTTGCTTTCAGTTTCTCATTGGACTCTAGTCCTTTATCCAGGCTTGCCCTACAGAGAAGTCACAGTTTGCTCAGCGTGGTGGGGGAGAAGGGGAGGAAGGGGTGGTTGGCTGGGAAGGGAACATTTGTTTACATGTTGCTTGGAGGAAGACAGTCGCGCAAGTGAACTGCAGGGCAGCTTTCTGTATGGGACTTCCTCAGCAGGGGAATCAGACTGCTCCAGCTTGTCCTGGCTGGCGAAGGGGGAAGGGGGACACAGATCATAGAGTTGTTGAGTTTGCAGAGATTTTAGCCCAGGTGTGCCGCGATCCCCGCAGACCTGTCAATGATGGCACAAGTTTGGAAATCTGCTTCTCATTTAGGACTTCGGAATAAATGTCACTAAAACATGCCTCCATGTTCTGACTGTCAGCACCTAAATTGAAAAGCAATAACTCTTAAGAAGTTTTCTTTTTGGGGGGAGAGGGAGGAATGAATACAACCTTTTCTTTTATGGGGGGGAGGTTGAAGGAGGAAAATCAAATACACTTTATATCAAATCTCTTTGCGTGTCTGAAAGAAAAAGTATCATAAATTAACTTTTGACTTCTGACTAAATAAATATAAAGTAAGAATGTTTGTAAAGTGTACTAATGGATAATGAAAATAGTAAAAATTACAAAGGTCTTATTTCTAGAAATTATCCTGAAGGGTAATGTAACCATTTCTATTCTATGATAATTCTAGGTTTGAGAAAACAGTAAAATCAGAGATTTTAAGGTCATTAGGGTTGGGTTATCTGCCAGAATCTTGAATGGAAAATCAAGCAGCTATTGGTTGTTAACTTAGCAGTGCACCTGCAGAGGATAGGATGTAGGGTCTGTCAGTTCTTCAATCCTGGAGTAATACTTTCTCTCTCTCTCTCTCTCTCTCTCTCTCTCTCTCTCTCTCTCTCTCTCTCTCTCTCTCTCTCTCTCTCCCTCTCCTTTGGCACAACTGTTAGGTATACCTCTAGTGAGCAAGATTATAGAGGTTTGGATAATAGGATTACCTCCTTTGGGGCAAATACTGAGTGAAATTATTCTAGTCTTCAAAATCATATTGAATCAGTAGATATGTCTAGACATAGAAGGTTAGCTACCTGAGGGTTTTAACTGAAGATATCTCTCAAATAGTATCACCTTAATGGCTGTGTCATATGTTGTGGTTTTCCTTGTGTAGGAAGAGAGGATTTTTACTAAATGTGTGGGATTGGCCATACCACTATCTCCAGGTTTCATCAAAATATTTTAACTGTCAGAAGATTGTGTTACAGCATCTAGGCATTTGGCATCACAATAGTTATGTCATCACTCAGAAAATAGAGTTCAGAATGCAACTAGATTTCTCAAGCTATGAGAAGAAAAGTGATGGAAAAGACAGAATGCTATTTTGTGTGTGTCTGTGTGTCTGTGTGGTCACACTTACTGAGTAAACTGCCTTCTCCATCATGCCTTCAAGGTTTGTTGTTCTGCTTTCGTCCACTAGGGACTGAACTAAGATCACTGTTGCTTTTCTTGGCATGTTAGAATAACCTCAAAGTAAGAGAGCTAGTATTTTAAAGTCTGGAATTGTAACTAGTTCTCATACTATACACATGCAAATCAACAGTCCACAGGTAAAAAAGCTGATAAAGAAAGAGAGTAGTTATCTAAACCTTTCATCATTAATAATCCATATAAGTACCAGGCAAAATCTCACTCAGCCTGAACCTTCTCTACTTGTCTCCTGGTTCAAGAGGGAGGCCCACAGAAGGCAAATGAGGCTAACTTGTACATTGTCCCAGTTACTAATATATCCTCTATATACTCTTCTATTAGAATTAGTCATTGAGAAAGTATTTTCTGCTACCTGTTCTTAAAGGGGGGGCATTTTTTGCATGGGATATTTCAACCATGTGCTATAAAAATCATTGGGTATGATGATATAAACATAGTAAGGAATATTTTTGGTTCTCTGCATTTAATAGCAATGAGGCTAACTATTAGTAGAACCACAGGCTGAAGATTCAAATTCAGCAAATATTTGCTTTCAACAAATGTGTTTTGCTTTCTGTTCTTTTGAAATAGGAAAAGTGATGATTATATGAGAAAGCAAAATATCAACATGTATTTGTGGAAACCTGTTTTCCATAATATTATTCTATCATTTGGATATATGGACAGTCTAAGCATTAACATGTGAACTTTGGTTATAATACCAATTTAAATGACATTAAATTCATTTTGTTTAATAATTGATCGTGTCTGCATTTTTACCATATTTTCCAAGCAATACCTATAATTTTGAGGAATGATACATATGAATCTTCTCTTTCAAACTTGTATTTATTAGGAATAAATATAAAACATTTGGGTACATTCACCTTTAGCTCATATAAATAAAGCTGGATATTTACTGAAAATATTCTTACTATGACTCTAGCAGTTTCTCTTGAGTGAGGTGAGATGAAATTTACATATCTCTTGTCAGTGTTAACTTAATTGAATGGAGGATCAAGCAATCATCTAAATGCATCCAGTAGACCTAGTAAGAAAAAACAATCACTTAACAGTAGGATTTTCCTAGAAACTGGAAAACTTGCTGTAAAATGATCTTTTTCTTCATTTAAAGTTCAGTTCAGTTCTCATGTTATATGATAAGTTTATGGTAATAATTCAAGTGGAAGTGTTTTTATAAAACTTGTGTAGTATGTTTGATCATTTTAATTGATGATATTTTATTGATAATATTTCCATGTTAATCTCAAATGTGAATGAATATCAATGAATTTGATGAAGAATATTGTCCCAACTCCATAACTATCAGTAAGACTGGCAACTGCAAATGGCAATTTTTGGATAAATAAATATTATTCTATATTATTGTACATTAAAATCACCACAGTTGTAGAAAAAGGCTAGGTTTTTTTTTCTTTACTCTTGCATATGTTTTAGTGAAGGCTGCAGCTATGTCATAACTTAAACTTACTAAGTTGTTCAGCAAAACTGATTTAAATGATGTAATCAGTTGAGGTACAAATGTATTGGAAGATGAAAGTGATAAAAATCAAAGATAAATTTTTAAAATGACACAGCTCTTCATAAAGTTCTCAAGGCATGAAACATCACAAAAAATTTGGCTATAGAATTAATTTCTGTGTGGCATTAGTGTTGGGTTGTATGAATTTAAGCTATTATCACTGATTCTAGTAATTCACATTACATTCTTCAGTAATGGGTTTTCCAGTATTCTCAAAATACGCTATTTTAAGAGAGTGAACCAATCTTAATATCCATATTCATTCTTGTAGTGTACAGCATCATATATCATTTGCATCCACACTAGTTTTCCTACTTTGTGTGTGTGTGTGGGAGGAGGTGGGGTGGGGGAAGGGAAAGGTTATCAGTTGAGCCAATTGGAAAGCAAATAAGGAAAGGGAATGAAGGACATACTGCTTGCTATGGGCATTAATATGTTTATTTGTTGATATTTCTTCAAGGATAACTCTGCTTGCCACATTGTCTTCTATCTATACCATTTGACAGATTTAAAAAAAAACACCTGAGACAGAAGTGTGAACAAAGTCACACAAGGTCACACACATAGTAAAGTGAATCTAGGTTTTATTTTCCCCTAAGATAGGGCTCTAGCCATAGTCGTTGTCAAGTAGCACCAATTAGAGGAAGACTACTGAAGCTTGAGTTGGTAACACTAAATATTCCAGATACTATCTTTGCTACATTTTTGTGCTTTCTCTGATAAGGCACTAAATTGGAGTAGGGTATACTTCACCTCTCTATAGCTATCCTGTAACTGAAATTCAAAATTATATTTCTCTAGATTACAAAATGCATGAATCCCTTGCTTATTTATTTTTTAATATCAAAATACAAAGATTTTAAAGCTCTCTAATATTCTAGAACTGGAGTTCCCAGAGAGGCGGAGCCAAGATGGCAGAGTGAAAACAGTGACTTGCTTGAGCTCTCCCCCAAACCCCTCCAAATACCTATAAAAAAAGTCTCTAAACAAATTCTAAAGCAGCAGAACCCACAAAAAGACAGAGTGAAGCAAATTTCCAGCCCAAGACAAGCTGGATGGTTGATCAGAAAGGTATATCGCATAGGGTGGGAAGAAGAGCTTTCGGCAAACCTAGAACAGGCCTCAGAAGACTGAATCGCGGGCAGTTGAGGCGGTTTCCAGACCTCTTAACCTACAAATGCCAAAGGCAACCTAGAAGGTCAATGGGAAAAGTCTGTGCCTTTGGTGAGAGAGAGAAGCGAGGTGGTCTCAGCTGCCTCCTGAGCTTCCAACCCACAGACTGAGGGGGAATCAAGTGGCTGATCAGAGGGGGATTGCAGGGATCTCTCTGCTGGTGCAGGATTCTCTTGCTTTGCCCTTGCCTGGATCTGGGTCACAGTTCTGGGTGGTGGCCCTGGGGTGAGGAGGAGCGCTGGCTTGGTGGAGTTTGCAGTGGCTGAGAGGAGGAAATTCTCCTCACAGTTCCAAGACAGAAAAGACTGCTTGTGGTCACTTACAGACCAGAGCACAGGTCAGGAAAGGAGTAAACATCTCGCCCCTTATCATACCACCTTGGAAGAACTGAAAATTTACAGGTCCCTAGAAGCATCTCTGAAAACAGCTACACAAACCCCTGAAGCTTGGGACAGTACATTCTCCACATTGGAAGCAGACTCTTACCTTGACAAAGAGTTTAAAACTCAAGTAATTGGCTAGGATCACGAGCAAACCTCGAAAAATGGATCAGACTATGTTATCTTAATTTGGTGACAAAGAAGGTCAAAACATACAACCAGAAGACTACAAAGTTCAAGCTCCTACATCCAAAGCCTCCAAGAAAAATATGAATCAGTCCCAGGCCTTGGAAGAGCTCAAAAGGGATTTTAAGAAGCAAATAAGAGAAGTAGAGGAAAAAATGGGAAGAGAAATGAGAGTGATGCAAGAAAATCATGAAAAACAAGTCAACAGCTTGCTAA